TTACTTTTCCCTGGACTTACGTGTTATTGTGTATTTGTACCATACCATGGCTACGTACACTACACAGGAATATGCTAACATGCACCTCATTTATGGGGAATGTTTATGTAATGCCAGTGAAGCCGCTAGACGGTATCAGCGCGAGAGATACCCAAATGCAGATCGCTATCCGGATCACAGAGTTTTTACCAATGTGCACCGTCTACTGTTCTCTGAGGGCCGACTGCCAAACCAAGTGCACGGTGAAGGTAGAATTTCACTACCCTACGAGGCAGTTGTCCTTCAAGCAGTTGATGAGGACCCAAGTTGTTCGGTACGTGGAATTGAGGCCAGCACAGGTGTGCCCAAAAGTACAGCTCACCGAATACTAGACAGAGAATAGCGGAAGCAGTAGAATTTGTGAATAATGGACGATTTGCCCGCTTCATTTCACGATCTTTTTTAAGGATATGTCGGGCCTGTATTGCAGCTGAAGGACGGCAATTTGAACATCTTTTATAAAAAAAGTAATAAAGCTGATCATAAAAAAGAAACTGTCTATTTTACTTATTTGCGTCCGTATGTCATAAGCGTCACTATCTGTCTCGCTCACATTTTATGGAATGTCTCTCACCATCTTATTTAAACCACGCTGTGGTCATTAGGAACGTTTTGGGTGTGCTAGAATCATTTGTTGTAATTTCAAAGAGATTGTTAAAAACAGACTTTGGTTAACAAAAAAAAATCTTATGGCCGATCTAAGAAATAATGGACTCAGTGTTATACCACTGTAGAATCCTTATTAAATGCGCTAACTTTTAAAGCTACTTGCCAAACTGGAGTAGTACATTTTTTTTCAGGACGATCAGTTGAAGTGGTGCGAAAATTAATTTTGAAAACTTGGTACGGTATAAAATGACATTTTCCTAAAAGTTGCGAATGATCAGCACAGAGTTTAGGATCATAGGTTACATAAAACACTATTCGGGATGACGTAAGAGAAAAAAAAATTGGCAAAAAGTAAATATTTGTAACAACAGGAATGAAAAAACTGTCACATGGTGTGCATTTTCTGGAATAACAAAAAAATATCCATATCTTCAAAAATACATGACTTATTTTTTTTTTTTCTGATAACTGGTGTGGCATTACCTATGAGAAAATTTCGACTTGACGTCGACTTTTGGGACAATAAATTTTTTATATATATATATACAGGTATATATATATATATAACTTCTATGTAAAATTCATTTAAGACAAATTTGCACGCAATTTTGTGTGGCAGAATATGCGAACTCTTGATTGTACCATAACATTTTTGTACCATATTCTTTTACATATACTTTGCGGTAAGTCTCGACTCCGAAACCTTCCCTAAGAAATGTCGGTTTCCCCACAACGTTTTGCTTGATAGTCCGCTGAGAATACCATACGTCAAAATCCATTTCTTTTTCGACATTGGGTTTTCACACTGTGTAAGAGTAGGACTCCTTCCAAAAGTATGCCAATTATAATAATATTAAGTAGGATAATTTTTATAGTCGATTGCCTAAATGATCATCGTTTAATGGTCCTAACAGACTGTCAGATTTACATCACAACTGTGACGAAAAATGACTCAGTGGAGATTTTCAGCAACTCCATAGAGACCTTTACCTATTCCGAGTATATATAGGCCGAGTCTATTTAGCAACCTTGCTGGTGTTAATTATAATTAAATAATTATTTGCCACTAGCGGACCCGACAGACGTTGTCCTGTCTTAACTATGAATATTGATTTCAAATTGGTATAATTAATTAAAAAATATTCTCAATATAATAACTCTAATATATAACTCCGATCGAAGTATTTGTTTTAAACGATATTCATTTTTCTTACATCCTCATACGATAAGATCAAACGCCATAAGGTTGCATCAAAAAAGTTCGAATTGTACGGTGGTTAAGTATTCTTAAATTTTCTAATTTTCCGCGCAATTTTTTTTTTCTTTCATAAGAACCTTCTCCTGACAATAACAAACACAACAAAAAAGAATTAGCGAAATCGGTCCACCCGTTCACGCGTGATGCCATGACCAAAGGTAATAGGGATTCATTTTTATATATATAGATTATTATTATTTTATTTCTTCTTACATAATTATGTATTTACATTGTATATTCGCGGATGCTTGGCGAACCCACGTCAATGTTGGCACTATTCCACTTTCCTAATATCCAATAGGACGAGTTTTAGCACAGATTGTAAACAAAATAAATATAGTTTAAAAAAACTAAAAAACACGCTTTTAAAGCACATCAAACTAAAAAGTGAAAAATAATTCCTAATTGTGGTAATGACTAATGAACAAAAAATACTGGTATTATTGTGAAAAAGCGTGGGTTGCTCGATAGACGAAAAATATTTACTCACTTTTAATATTCACTTTTTAGTTTGATGTGCTTTAATTAAAAGCGTGTTTCTTAGTTTTTTTAAACTATATTTATTTTCCACTTTTTAGTCCTAGCAGCAATACGTGTTGTCTCAATTTAATCGTATTGCTTTGTGGACTTAAAAAGAATTTCATTGTTTTTTCGAGATAAACCTATGAAATTATTATATTGTCGCTGATTCTTTATAAGTGTACAAAGTTTGAATTAAATCTGTCCGTTTAATGTCGGTCAAAATCGAGTCCGAAGGAGTCGGTTACATACATATATACATACATACATACAGATGAAGCTAATATAAAGCGTGTAATAAACAGTCTTACAAAAGCTTTGAAATTTTGGTAAATGATACTTTGTCCTTGACAAATGAATTAGATTTAATGTTATAGGTTAATGTACCTATTAGTTGGACGACATTCATTTTTAAACAACTGAGTGCAAGCTGTTCCTGAGTGATTTCTTCCAGACAACCAGTTTTGAGAAGAAATTACACATGTATTACTGTTTCCCTTTTTTTTCTCATCTGATGTTGAGTGATACCGCCGCCTATTGACTAACATTGCCAGAGGGCTCCATACGTTGCCGGCCTTTTAAAAATCAGTACGCTCTTTTCTTAAGGGACCCTTAGCCTAATTGGTTCGGAAATACTTCAGTGGGCAGCTGGTTCCACATAGTGGTGGTGCGCGGCAAAAACTGCCTTAAAAACACTCAGTTGTGGACGGACGTCGAGGTGATACGGGTCGAATTTCGTATTCTGCCTCAAAGTCCAATAATGAAACTCAGCTGCAGGTCATCCGAACGAATCACTTAACAATAATAAAATAATGGAAATCAGTTGAAATCTTAAAAAAACTGATTTATACGCTACGTACGTCATTTTACGTCTAAGATAACTAATCAAACACATGCCAACATTACTAAATAAGTTATGTATCTGATTCATTTATATATTCCGTCAGTCTTCATTATGGTCTACTTTACCCGAAAACAACAGAATTCACGAAGCTGCTACAAATATTGGTTACGTCAACCAGCCTTGATCTTACAAGATTCAAGTATAATGAATCGAATGACCTCCGTTTTTCTCTCGAAAATAATTACGCACGTAAAAAAAATTGCACGTACCACATCTTACGTCATACATACCTTACCTACATTATACATGACAGCTTGGTAATAGGCTAATATCAAATGGTTAGTTCGTATACATTAATTGATTTACTTTCCGCGGTTAAAAAACAGGCGCTACAACCTGAGACATTTATTTGTTTTTTCTAATAGGCAAGTAGGTGAGCTTTCGGTGCCTAACTTTTTGAGTCTATTCCCTGTTTTCTCACTAGGAAATGTTAAAAATGCACATAGATAGTCCAATGTGCCAGGGTTCGAACTTGAGGGATAAAAGTCGCACGCTGAAGTCACTAGACCAACACTGCTCATTAAAAAGTTGAAAGATTGAAGATAATTTAAATAAAATTCGTGAGAGAACAAGATACTTAGATCTTTAGCTAACATATTACATAAACTATACATTGTTTCAGAATTTAAACAACACAAATCTAAATACATATATTAAAACAAAAATTTCACACCATCACATAGCCGAATCTATTACGAATTTAGTCATTTTATTGGTATTTTTTCTTTCGTTACTTTTGAACCTTTTCGTCTGACTCATGAGCCTTTCCCATTGCAAGAAAAACCTTCATATTTGTTTCATAAAGATTTTCGTCGAAGGTTCGTGTTCGTTCTCCACAAAGTGGTGGTGATGAATTAGTTTTAATAATAATAAATTTATTTGTACAAAAATATTATGGTGGTACAATCTAAATGTCGCAAACTCTGCCGCACAAAGCGTGCAAAATTTTTTCACATAATTAAAAGGTAGAATTTAACATTGAAGTTACATTACATTATCAATCATATCATCAAAGTCAATTCTTATATTATTTTATCACTATATATTAGTACGTTATCAAATTAATATTTATTGTAATGTTTCACACAAATAATAATTAATAGAATAATATAGTTTTCCAAAAGAAGAATATTAAGTCGTTTTTAACTACTCTAGTAGTAATCTTTGATTTTTTTTTGGTAAATTAATTATGATGTGTTTTCCTATACAATACCCGATTAAATTTTGGCATAGCCAATTTCTCCTTATGTCTACTTCGGCAGTTGTCTATTCCCGTTGACCGTTTTGTGAACGAACATTTCTAGAATATACATACAGGGAAGAGATACAATTTTGATCTTAAACAAACCACTATCCCAACGACAGTGCTTTTCAACTTCAAAATTGCATACGTTAGTGTCTGTATCAGAAATTACACACTATATGTACCTACTCTGATTTTTAATTAGATATTGGAATATTTGTTATTTTTGTATTAGGTCACTTGAGTAAGTAAATATTTAGATTTATTTTTTTGTAGGAAAGACATTTTTTTATTGTCAAAAAGTCAAATAAGTCAAAATTGTCTCTTTTTCTGTGGAGAACTTTTTTGTTAGCAACACTAATGAAATGTCAGGATTCTACGGAATGAAAAATAGAGCTACGCACAAATCTTCTCGCGTTAAAACTCACCTATTATGGGCTCGCCAACGATTGCACAAATGTAAGTACTGCCGACACTGGATGTACATAAACACAGCTCCGCCCGTGAAACCCACCGCCACAACCACCAGCTTTGTCCAAAACGGCCAAGCTGAAATTACAGTCACTACTATCAAAGTAATTCAATTCATCTTGCGGCTTGCATGGACTCGGGTTCAATTCCAGAGGGGTGAAATTTTTAATGGTAACCGTTTAGCGGTGTAAGAACACGATACCTTTTTTTTGCTAACTCCCAAGCGAAATTAGAGAATGATCACCAAATAAATTGAAAGCTCTCGTTAAACGTAAATTAATCAATAAAACTTTTTATAAATTTGACGAATATTTAAATGATCCATACCAGTATTGCATTTTGATTTTTGGAAAGTATTTCATAAAATGTGACCGTTATTATATTTGCCATACTTCTAGTAGGGGGGAAAAGTGCTGCCAATAAAGAAGATTAGATTAACGGAAAGAAACAAAACCATAGTTCAGTTAAAAGAGAGTATAAGTAACCATTAAATATCTTAAGTCAGAAACTCAAGAGTACTACTAAATTACTAAATAATAAAACTATGCATTAATAAAATTGCGTAACGTAAAGCTTAATTTACTATGAAACTAAAATTATTCGAGAAAAAATCTAATATATAAAATTCTCGTGTCACAATGTTCGTTCCAATACTCCTCTGCAACGGCTCGACCGATTCTTATGAAATTTTTAATGCATATCCAGTAAGTCTGAGAATTGGCTACTATCTATCTTTCAAACACCTATGTGATAAGGGGTGCCCACCCCAAAATATATATAATACAGCATACAAAAATACATACACCCTTAATTGTCACCCCTCTACGATCAACCCCTATTTTTTATTATTGAAGACCTAAAAATTTTTTCCTAGAAATAATATACACGTACATGGCAAAACGACGTTTGCCGGGTCAGCTGGTATAAAATAAAATACTTCATACAAACGGTACGGCGTGTGCAACTTTGTCAACAAGCTTATCTTATTTCAACATAACCCTGCCACCGAGTATGACCACATCGAGAGCAATTCTCTGCCCATAAAGGGACTTACCGATCTGTCCCTTGTTAACCTCCTCGACCGCTCTCTCTATAAGTACGAACAGTGACCACATAACGCAAAGTGCAGCTACGCAGTGAAACAGGACGGCGCAGCATAGACGCCGCCTTTCAACGCCTGACATTTCCAAGAGGCGCCACTAAAACAAATATTTTAGATTAGTTCCTTTATCACCTTGACCGCCGCTTGATACACAGCTGTAAACACATTTTATGGTAACACGTAATCGGTTGCTTAGTGCACCTGCCGAGGCGAATGGGCCTTGTGCTTATTTTAAGTCACAAAAATTTCATACATAGAGCAAAAAATAAACAAATTACACTTATTTATTAAAAAATAATTTGTCTTCCTTCTATTGAGGGAAATTCTTGTTTGTGCGAGACTGATTGGTCACACAGGTCATCAGGTCTGCACTACTTCGGATCGCCAGAAGGTCTTAAAAAGTAGTGGAAGTGTTTTAAAGTTATACCTACAGCGAAATTTATAAAATTAAATTAAATCATACAACATTGACAAAACTACGAGACTACAAAAATATTTTTTTAAACTAGAAACCAGGAATTTTAAGACGTAAATTTGTCTATGACCTCCCTCGACTGCGGCAAAACGTTTCGCAAATTTTGGAAAACCGTTTAAATTCTTTTCGGTATTTGCTACCTAAAAATTGTCTTCAGCTGCTCCATTATGTTATTTTCAGTTTGATGTAGTCGAATGAGAATAATCGGGGCTACGTGGTGGCCATTCAATATCCCCCTTTTCGAAATGAGTTTTGGGAAACACATTTTTCAGCGCTTATGGTAATCCTAGCGTAACATTGGCCCCATCCTGTTGAAACCACTCCCCGAGGTATTGCCTTGAAGTTCTTCAAAGCTGGCACCAAAAAGTCGTTACGATGTTGCAATAATTGTTAGCTCTAACCATTGCCTGCCTGAACTGAAACGTGAACTCGCTCCACAATGTCGGTTGATCTTAGTGCAGATGTGGGCGACCACTTGTACTGTTGAGACTATTTCGAAATTCTGATCCATTTTATCACATTGCGCTTATTCCTTATCGTACTGTTCATGTCGATACAACGTGCAGAAATCACAGATTTATTGTTTTCGTAATACGTCGGATACAAAATGGGGCGCGGCGCCCCGTGTACGGCTCATGCGACTAAATTTCAGAAAAACAAATACCGCAGTCCCCGCGATCAAATACATATTAATTACAATACACTATTATTATTATATTAAAACATCATAAAAGCGTAAACTACATTTTATTAAAAATAAATAAATCAGTGGCGCTACAACCTCTTTAGGTCTTGACCTCAGATTTCTGAATCTGTTTCATGATCATTTTTAAATCTAATAGGCAAGTAGGTGATCAGCCTCCAGTGCCTGACACACGTCGTCGACGTTTTCGGTCTGTGACATGTCGGTTTACTCACATAGAAAGGTGAACAAAATCTATTGGTGCACATCCGGGATCGGACCTACGACCTCAGGTATGAGAGCCGCACGCTGACGCGACTAGGCTAGGCGGAACAAAGGGGTAGGCGGAGACCACGGTTCTCCACTTGCAACGTTCCTGACATACCTCTCTCGCTTTATCCACCTTCATAACATTCACCATGCATGCTCGTGGGTACTTTTGACCTATTCCTTCTCTTTGGTATGTACGAAGAGGCCTACCCGTCCCGAACTCACCATGAACGGTTGGCTTATACTACTCGTAAGTCGCTTTTCAAACATCCCTTCTACATGGTCTAAGCATACCTTTCCGTATCCAACGTCCTTTTTTATACCACACGACATAATGTACCTTAATCAATAAGCCTGTCTAATACAGTAAGTTTCGATTGTAATTGATATAAACAGTAATAAAAATAATAATTCTTTATTTCTCCCTAAGAAGGTATTGGGTGACTGGTTTCCAAGCTAGTGAACCTGTGATATGGATAACCAGGCTTCCATTCCACAGCAGTCATACTGAGTCATGACAAAAAAAGTACATATATGAGTAGGTAACAAAATTTAAAGTTTCTAAAAAAGGACATAAAAAATCTAATCAACAGTCAACTAGATTCCTGCAGAAATAGAGTTGTATGGGTTTATGTGTGTGTGTGTCTGTGTGAGTTAGTGTGTGTATGTGAGTGAGTATTTGGGAGGGTGTGTGTGGGTTGGTATCAGGCACACACTTGAGACCATGATAGCTATGTGGAAATTATTTTAGTATATCTAGCAGACTTTCCGTTTGGTCATAGTTCGAAGTAAGTATAAATTTATAGACCATTTGCTTTACACATTTTTTAGTTACAGTATAAGAAAATTGTATGTCTTAAATATACAAATGAAGTCCTCAAATACAGTTGGGAATGGACAAGAACACATTGGCTGTTTCAATGAATAAAACACGAATATGAATTTAACCTTTGAAATTAAACGAGAAGCAATTAAATTTGAATTAAAATGTATTTTTGTTAATTAATCCGCACTAACATTAATTTATTTTGTCCTTACACGTTTGCTGTCATCATTGTAGATTACGCTATATGTTTGTTATAAAATCAAAATATGTATGTTCATTATATTATTTCTCATTTACTATCAAAATTTTTAATATATGATGCCCCACTAAGCTGTTGTTTTTATCTTTTATACACTACACAATTTTATACACACATAATACTGAAATAATATGTTCGCACATAAGAACTTTTTTAAGTAACTTTTAAAAGTTTATCAATATTGAAGTTTTGGTTTAAATACAGCATAAGATTAACAACCGCTTTGGAGATTAATAATTATTTGTATATTTGTGCATTAGCTTATGATACTTAATAAATATATAAATAGATGAGTGTGAAGGCTAGCATAGACCAGAACTCCTAGCCTCGATTCGAGGCTATTTCCATTTCCACAGAAAACCAATAACTAAACTATTATTGAAACAAATGAAAAAACTTAATATAGGTTACAAGGCTTCAAGACAGAATAGTGTCTGGGCATTTGTAAACAAAACAGTATACAAGCAGATATAGATGAACCAAAGCTGTGAACTTGAGAAGTGATGTCGATGTTATAGAACTCTCAACCGAGGCCAAAGTCAATGCTAATAGCCAACACATATAACCGAGAGATAATGTATTAATAGACACTTATTGTATCGGGATGGGCCAACAAATTGATCACCTGCTTGCCTACAAGAATCAAAATACACAGAAATATCTTCTTAGTGGACAGGGCCAAACACATGTATAATATATATTAATATTTCATCTTTTATTACTTAACAATGCAAACAAATACATTGCAGCAAATAATTTATGCCATAGGTATAGTAAAATTTTCCTCATCAATCTCATGTTTATGACTATAAATAACTACAACTTTATTCACCTCAGGTTCATTACCAGGATAAAGATGTTGTTGTGACATGCTTCCGTCTGATAAATATAGCTTATCTTATATATATTAAGTACATATAATATTCAAAGCTCAAAAAAATAAAAAAATAAATTAATTCCCATGTGAAACCTAACATTCAGTGTAACAGATATATCACTGCTTTGTGTGTTTCAAACCAATTACACTTTTTACAGAAATCAAACATAGGAATTCTTTATTTACACATTATCTAACTCATGATGGCAATTTAAAATGTTTAATTTTAACATGTCATAATATTTTAGGAAGTCTTAAGTAGAATGTTGTTATTATTATTTTCTTAATATCTTACCTCATTAAATGGTTTAATCTTTGTATGCATTATAAAATTAAATTTGCAGAGTTCACATGATCTTGTTTCGGATGCCGTCAACCATTGTTGTAAACAGCTTTGGTGGACAAACTTTAAGCTACCTGCAATAAAATTATTAATAGTGATTCAAATGAAATAGAGATAAGCCAAGGTCAATCAAACTCAAATGGGTATATATATATATATATATATATATATTTGTTAAATGTAGTTTTTAAAAAATACATTTAAAAATCAATATAAAAAAAAAAAAAAAAAAAAATATATATTTTTTTTATATATATATATATGAATTTGTTAAATGTAGTTTTTAAAAAATACAACCAACAATGATATGCACTAAAAAGTATAAAAAGAAAAAATACAGAGGTGCCTTTCTATTTGAAATCATTAGACTCAATTATCTACAATGATTCATAGGCTCTAGTGTCAAATCAGTAATAAACTAAACATACAATCAGCCTTAATTAGCTATTACCTCATGTAAGCTCACTATGTTTATATAAACTATACAGTTTTGATGAACTTAATAAGAAAAATGTTCACCCTGTTTGTTTTAATTAAATTATAAAGAAATTTAAAATGTATGTATGTCTTTACATCACAACATGTTCAAACAACTAATGTGAAAAACAAATCATTAACAAATCAAATTTCTTTTATATAACCAAACTTAATGGTAATTTTACAATGAGCAGGCTGTAGTCATTTAGATCTACACATCACATAAAACATATATAAATGCAAATGGTTTTATTTTAATAAAATCTTCTTAATATAACTTCTTTGAATTGATATTCTTTGTCACCAAAATACATCATTATTTTTAGGACCATATTATTTTTAATATTAAAAATTAATGTATGATATAAATAATTTTGTTAACACCTTATATATATATATATACAAAGAGAAGACTTACCAGAACAATAGCAGGGTGCTAGCAGTGGATTATGGATCTCGCTTTCACAATGACAAATTCTGCAGATATCACCACTAGAATTACTGCAAGAAGTCTGGCTGCTTCCAGACCCTGCACGTATCGTCTCCTTGCCACATCCACCACCCCATTCCCAACTTTCAATTTCACTCGAATTTTTCACGTTTATTTGTTGAACAGGCATTATTACACTCAATATTTCACACTATTCCACTTTGAATTTCCAGATTTAATTTAACAACACATAATATCGACAAAGCAAAATGTAAGAAACATGACATTTATTTTATAACCAACCACTAAATACGAACAATAAAATAAACCTTTTCTCATTTTAAAGGGTTTAGATAATACTTTACGCCTACAATTTAATTAGAATGTTTACACTGCAAATCAAATAACTACAATAGGTAGAATAGCTTGTAGGTATTTAGGTACCTGCAGTTTGCAAGGAATCTCACGGAATTCTATTCATAACGAATGTTAAAATCTGTGGAGTGTTTGACACAGTGGAATGAAAACACGTTTAGAAGTGATTATTGACTATTGAGATTTGAGAACTATAGAACGGAAAACGGTAGACCTGTGAAGTTTACCCGCCGAGGCGCTGAATGTGAACGGTAGTTTACTATACTGTCTATGACTTAATATAATTCTAGCCTGTGGATTTAGTAAAATATGATTTTTGATTTGGCCTAAAGGTCTAGATACCAGGCCATAAACTCCAAAAAAATAAAAAGATTTTTGATAATCGAACATGTTAAAAAATAGTTAATTTTATGAGTAATTGAATTCTGAAATTAAAAAAAAACTTTTATCGATTATAACGCGAATTGACTACGATTGCTAAAAAACACTGGAAACATTGAGCTAAAATAGTATAATAAATTCGCGTTCATTTCTATTTATGGTTTATTTAAATATACAATATTTGTAAGGAAATTAATGCTAAAAAAAATTCACTATTTCAGCCAAATGACGTCAAATAATTTTGTTAAGAGAATAACTACGTTGACGTAGATGTTATACGTACGACAATTAATTAAGAAAAAAGAAAACAAGTATTTATATTCAGAACATTTTATTAAAATAAAACCATTTGCATTTATCAAGACGCGGTCCTTACCAAAAAATAATTAGCGTATGAATTAAGAAATAAGACACAAGCGAACATTTTCTCACTAGGACCTAACTATTTACAATTTGAAATTATGCTTAAGTAAAATATTTACAATAATAAATCTAAAAGTTTATTTATAATTACTTATGTGTACACATAGTAACTATAACAATAAATGTCAATTATTAGGTAAATAACACCTAAAACTTAAAGACTAATCAATTATAGATATTTTAATACTATGTTAAATGCTATAAGTCCTGAAACACTGGTGTTTATTTGTATATATTTTACAACTAAGGTAATGAATTAATCTTCAAATTTAATAGAATGCACCCCCATATCGATAACACCACCTCGATATGACCCTCTTTTCTTCTTAGTTTTTTCATGTTTGAATGACTTGCCGCGTGTATGCTTCAAATCCATGCTTGCACGCTCACCCCATGAGCCACGCGCTCCTTTCTGTAAACAAATATAACAACATTAAGGTATATTCTATTCATATTTACCATTATTTCCTTTTATAATTATAATGCTAGCTAGTAATATGTACATAAATTAATTGATATTGATTTATAATGTGCACATGAATTTCTTCTTCAATGAAAAAACATCTTGCATATGTAGGTTGACTGATACATGCAACATTATTAAAAGGTTATGTACAAGTACAGTGTTAAAAATGATGCTCACAAGCAAATGATTTTGAATATCATAAGAGCATCATAATGTTATACACTTAATTCTTACCTAATTATCAAAAACAATTTTTTTGTTTTGTTTTTCTCCACTATCAAAGCTTTTTCTGTCATTGAAGTTTTTGTTGAAACCCCCCCTATCTCCACCTCCCCAAGAGTGCCTATCACCGCGTCCTCCCCTGCCGCCCCTATCACCTCCCCTGCCTCCTCGTCCTCCCCTATCCCCTCCTCTGCCTCCCCACCCGCCTCTGTCCCCACCCCTACCTCCCCTGCCTCCGCGGTCGAAACCACCACGCCCTCCCCGGCCTCCACGGTCAAAACCACCACGACCTCCTCTGCCTCCTCTATCATTAAATCCCCCACGGCCCCTAAAACCTCCCCTTCCTCCACGATCCCCTCTGTCATTAAAACCACCCCGATTAAATCCACCTCTGCCCTTATTCTGCCATACATTTGATTGTCCATCAGCTTCATCTTCACCATTTTCTTCTTCGCCGTTTTCCCCTTCCTGATTGAGAGAAAATAATTTAAAAAACCGAGACAACCCTATGTATTTCTATGAGTTATAATACAAAGTAAATGCCCAAAATTAGCCATGTTTCAAATTTTAAATAATAATAATACATAGAGTTGCCTTGGCTTTTTAAAATTTTAGGGCATTTACCTTGGCTTCAAATGAATTGTCCGTAAGTCTAGGATCCACTTCAACTTTCTCTGATACAACTCTTCTAAATGGAACCGGTTTATTAACCTTTTCAGATTCATTGGGTGTTGACACTACACCAGTGCCCTAAAATTATGATAAGTATTCATTAAATTTCAAGAAGAACCTTCACAATTAATATTGAAATGTGAATGAATTGTCACTTTAACTTTATTTTAAGTAACAAATGAAGAAATTTGACAATGGCTAATATTTATTGAGACTAACCATTTACTCGGAAGATATATATAGTGTACTTCAAAAAATTCAAAAGTTAGGCAAACCTTTACAAAGTTGCTGTATGGTTTTTTAGCAGGTGTTGCGTCGTCCATTTCCGACGCTTTCCTTTTCTTGCCTCCTCCTTGTGGAGTATTCTCCTCAGTTTCCTGAAAAGAAACATAATAAAAATTGAGTTTTGTAAAACATTATTATATTGAAAAGAAACAAATTTAAATTAATTACAAACCTTTGGAGCTTTCTTGACAATCTTAGTTGCAGATGGAGCTTCATCGCTGTCGTCAGAAGAATCGGAATCCTTCTTCTTAGCTGGTGTATTAAGTGACTTTGCTGGAGTAGCCGAGAGTTTTGGCACTTTGGCAGCCTTGGGTTTATCATCATCACTACTGTCATCGCTATCATCTGATGATTCCTTTTTTGCTTTTACTGGTGCTGGTGTTGGTTTTGGCTTTTCATCTTCACTGTCACTATCATCTGATGAAGATTCCTTAGCCTTGGGTTTAGGTGTTGCCTTAGCTGCCTGTTTAGGAGCTGGTTTTTTTTTATCATCTTCACTGCTGTCATCAGATGATGATGACTTCGAAGGTTTCTTAACTGGTGTTGGTTTTGCTACTGGTTTTTTACCTTTTGGTGGCTCCTCATCACTACTATCATCACTATCTGATGAGGCTTGTTTTGCCTTTACAGTTTGAGTAGGTTTAGCTGCAGTCGGTTTTTGAGCTTTTTTAGGCTCATCATCGCTACTATCATCTGATGATTCCTTAGCCTTTGCTGGTGTGGCAGCAGGTTTTGCTACTTGTTTCTGATTGGGTTTAGGTTTTTCATCTTCACTGCTGTCACTATCATCAGATGATTCCTTTTTGGGAGTAGGTTTGACTGGAGTCTGCTTACCTTTTGGGGTCTGTTTTTGAGCTGTTTTTGGCTTTTCATCTTCAGAATCATCACTGTCATCAGACGATGATTGTTTTGCAGCAGGTTTAACTGGTGTGGCTTTAACAGGAGCTTTAGATTGTGGTTTTTGTTGTGGTTTCTCATCTTCACTATCATCACTATCATCTGAAGATGACTGTTTAGGTTTTGCTTTAGGTGTAACCGCAGTGACTTTTGCTGATGTGGCTTTAGTAGGCTGTTTTTGTGTAGCCTTCGGTTCTTCTTCACTACTGTCATCACTATCTTCAGAAGATGATTTTTTTGCTGCTTTGTTATTTTGGACAGGAGTTTGTTTGGCTGGAGTTATTTTAGGTACTGGCTTCTGTGCTTGCTTAGGTTTTTCATCCTCAGAGTCCGAGCTGTCATCAGATGATTCCTGTTTTTTCACAGCTTTTGGTATAGAATTTGCAACTTGTGGCTTCACAGGCTGTTTTTTAGGTTGCTGAGTTGCATTATCTTCACTGTCGGAGTCATCCGAAGACTCTTCTTTCTTTTTTGAAGGCGGAACAGTCGTCTGAAATTTTGATAGTGTTACAAAATGATGTCTCACATTCAAGAATTTAATAAAATATTTACAAGAAATCAGAGGTAGTGACGATATATAGAAATATCATTGTGAATCAATTACAATTTTACATCATTTTGATATACAATATACATAATAAAATAAGATTATTATAACACTTGCAACATAAAATATACTCTGACATGAGCTTAAACTGGGATCTGAGAGCCTGGTTGTCTTGGTAAGAGCCTCACAGCAGATACCACACAACCACTAAAGTATTCAATGGTGTTCTCAGTTTTCTTTGCTTTCTTGGGTTTAAAAAAATATCTGACTCTGATCCATCGACTGACACCACTCATCAACTAATATCATGTGTAGCAAGTTTAAAAATAATTAGATGCCGTTCAGAAAAAAATTGTTTATTTTTAAGATTATTTAAAATTTTGCAACTTCAGTATTGAGGAACATTATTTTCTATGTATACATTAGGCAGTTTTACAGATATTGACAGTGACCTTGATAGTGTTGGGTAAACTAATTGAAACATGAGTTAAAAGCCCAAAACAATTTTATATATCTCCTACAGCAAAAGTAACACTTACGTCCAAATATTCAAAAGGATATACATAGAAAACATAAAAAAGTAACTCAATACCAGATATTTGTTGCAAGTCTACTAATATAACCTATATTACTTGTCTCACCTTGGATGGTGTTTTTCCATTAACTTGTGGTGTTTTCTTTTGTGGCTGTTCATCTTCATCACTAGAATCGTCCGAGCTGTAATTATCAACAATTCATAAAAATAATATAGTTTAAACCATTTATAGGTTTGTTTTAAGTTAATAAACTAACCAAATACAGCTAACCTATATTTATGATAAAATTAATGTTTATTTTAAAAATAGAATAGAATATCTACTACCAGATTAGTATATTGTGGTGTTATAGAATTACACTTAAATAACCTACATTAAAATAAAACATTTCTTGGTAGAGGTTATTTTTAACCTTAAAGCCTGGAAATTATAACAAAATGAATTCACTTTGAGCAGTGCAGAAATATTTTAAATTTAGGCTATTCCTAACAGTCATAAACCACACTTAGCTCGAACACATGATACGATTGTACCAGTTGAGAGAATTGATGGAACAAAAATAAATTTAATTGGCTGGCTTACAGTATAAGATCGAGAATACACTAACCTTTCAGCCTGTTTTTTATTTATTTGTTTTGCTGAAGTGTCGTTTTTGTTGAGTTTCTTGTATTGAGCTACTATATCTGTCAGTGATGGTAAACCAGGATTCGCTTTCTAAAAAAATAAAAATATAAAATAATTAGGTGGGTAATTAAGTGATAATTTAAATTATATTGAACCAAACAAGGATGACAAACGTAGAAAAGTAGAAAATTTAGTTATGGCTAACTGAAAATGAATTACTAAAAATTTATAATGATAATACAAATCACTTCACTACATTAATACGCAATTCAATCAATCTGTATTAGTTGCGGTTAAATTTTTAAAGTTATTATTAGAAGTTTTTTTCCGCGTGGTCTTATAAAAATTCACACGTGGTGTACAAAAATGTGGTTAGCTTACCGCTTGTGTCTTAGCTTGAAACTTCTGCGCCAGCGGTTTATTAATGGATAAAAGGAACTCGTAAACAATTCCAAGCACTTCTGCCTGTATATCTCCCGGTAAATTCATATTTAATTAAATTTCACTGTGATGTTAAAATTTAAAAAAATTAAAAGGAACGCCGGCCACGCGCTACACTCGCTTTGGCGCTGGGTGACAGATTGAAAGAATCGCCAGACGTGAGACAAGTGTTGCCAAATGCCAACTCAGATTTTGAAAATTACGTAGGCCAGATTAGAAAATTACGTAGATCTAGTAAAAATTGTATAGGAAAAGTTCGTAGATCTACATACTTTTTTTATGAGTGTAATGAAGAGGGTAAAGTAGGTAAAACAATAAAATGAGTGGTTTTTTTTTAAATTATTATTTAAAAAAAAATATTTTTTGGTAAATTAAATTTATGCATGTTTTTTACTAAAAAGTTTAATATGATCTTGCGTTGGCTCAGGGTTACTTTTCAGACCACTTTTTCAGGAAAGGCCTAAAATACGTAGATCTACGTAAAAAGACGTAGAGTTGGCAACGCTGCGTGAGACGCCATCGTATCTGACAGTATGGCAACTCCTACAGAATGTTCCCACAAGAATCAACTTCAAATACACCTAAATATCGATTAGTTTTTGTTTTACACTCGAATTGGGAGGCAATCTTAAATATGCATCTAAACTACGTAGTAGTATAAAATTTCGATCTTGAAGTATCATAGCTTTTTGATATTTCAGTTATAGCCACGCTGGGAGTTGCCATTTGTTTTAGTTTGTTGGTTGGGTTCTATTCATAATATAAATTAAGATTTTTAAGAAAAATCGTCGTATAAACCTCCCAAGACATCTTGTTTCTTCCTTGTTTAGGGGAACCCCCAAGTTACTTATCTGAGATACCATGTGCAAAATTAAGAAAGGTACGTTGGTACTTAGGATTATGATATTTTATTCTCTAGTATCTTCTGTATCACATGTGCATGCAAGGGTATGCTCTAAAACAACTTAAACTAACATTGAAAAAATGCCTAATTCGTTGTTAGTTAAAATGAAACTTAGCCCTGAGTTTCGACTCAAATGCTGAGATTTTCTATTATTAGAAAATATATCGGGATTTGGAAAGCTGGATTAGCAAAAAATCAAGAGTAGGTCAATAAATCTAAGGAATATGCATCAATTCAGATGATTAAAAACAGAGACAACCTGTTAAAAATTCAAACCGTAAGCACCAGATAAATAAAATTATATAATTGCATACAAATTAAGGTAAAAGAAATGATGAAAAGAAATCATATACCTACAGGTTTTACTAAAAATGTTACATGCGAGTACATTACTTATATTGATTACAGTTATATTAGTGAAAACCAGACCTCTTTTTTGCTTAGTCGATGTTACAGCCACTGTGCCACAGTTACAGAATACTGAATAGTGAATACAGCCTGTCACAGATAAGTTTTACTAAGAAGAAAGACGACATATGTGTTCCATTTGAATCACAGATTTAGTAGAATGCTAGAATAATGAAATTAATGTTTTTTGAGATTATTCATTTAGCGATACTGTAAAACATATAAACTAGTCTTAAAATGTTGCGTAAATTAAGAGAAGTGTATCGTCTAGATAAACGAACATATAAAAATTTTGGTCATAAAAGAGAACCCGAACCACTGTTTACAGTTTTGTGGCATGGATTTCTTACATTTTCTTTTATTGGCATGGGGATTGAATGGAAACGGTAATATATTTATTCTGGGTGTTATTTTGATTTTGTAAAATTTATCTATGTAGGTTAAGAAAATTTTAAATACTGTATATTTGTTTGTTATGTTTAGTTACATGAATAATATTATAATTATCAGACACTAATTTCATGTCCAAAATGTTTATATAACTTCAGTTTTCATTTATATCTCACAAATAACAAGTTTTCGTTGGACGAGACTTTACCGTCATTAATGAATTGATCTTTCTGTAAAAAAATGTTTTACTCATCATTTTAATTTATTTTTACATATAACATAAGACTCATGATGTTTAATAAAATAGTTTTCAATTGATTGTTTCAGAATGTATCGATTTTTCTTTGATGAAGAGCCTGAAAGGAGTTCACTCACAGATTTAGAATAGATTTTAGTACTTAGGTAGGTCAATCAATATTAAATTGTCTAAATAATACTGTAAATATATAAATAAATAATACTGTCTTTCTTGTGAAAAAATAAATATGTCTTTAATTCCCATTTAATTTCCCCTATACATCCCTAATTCTACATACTAAACATTTTTAAGCTTTGCTTCAAGCCTACACCCTCTGTCTTCTTTGCCGATGAGTAGGGATGCCTAAAAATTCAAATTTAATGACGTGGTATAAGTGATACATGTATCTTATGTTCCATAATAAACATATTTTATTTTTATTTCAAGGTCATTCCTACACCTTCCCATTTCATCCTATTTTTTGCCATCCTGATCAATCAAAGTTAGAAATTACCTTAATATTTCATGGTTGATACAGCAAGGAAGTTAGCTATAGTTTGAATACTGGTACAAATTTAGGTTTTATTTTTTATTTTGGTTCCTTAAAAGCTTCCTATTCAGTATGGTTCCTATTTTAATTACAATTTGGTTTGAGATTATTTTTAGACTTTCTTTTCTTTTAGGTTCCAATATATTGGTACTGTAGTATGTAGTCCAAATATTATATTTAAGGAGAAGTCTTGGTTGGAGATTGTGATTTTATTATCATAGAACCATTAAGTATCTGTGATAATATGGATAAACTAAAAGGTTTTATTTAGAGAACTAAAAACTTCTGATATTTTTTTTTAATGTGTTGTAAAGCTACAAGCCTAGATCTTATTTTGCAGAGAATTTCAAAGGGCCTTTATTAAATATTTTTTGAAAATATTTGTGCCTTGTGGTATGTCTAAGGCATAATGGGCATTTTGTTAGGTCTTTATGGCGCCTTGGTTTCCATAACAACGAAATCTTAACTTTATTTAGACTGCTGAAGAAGCCAGAATGGACTTAGAATCATTGTTCTATGACAATGATGATGAGACTAGATTCTATTATTGATCTCATGGAAAATAATGAAACTGTTCAACAAGAAATATGTCGCTACAAAATACCCAAGAATCAAAAAAATCAACCATAATTTGATAACTACTTAACGTATTTGCCGCTGATGCAGAATTTAGCTACAGAGGGATTCTTTTGCCTTTGAACAATTCGTCGTAATAGAATTCTTAACTTCAAAACACCTGCTGATAAAGAATTAAAAAAAAATGCGTGGTTATTCTATAGAATTTCGTTAACAGTATTGGCAACGAATTCAGGCGTAGGATAGAAGCACAGTTTTTATGGGCGCCCTGAAGAGTGAAGACGAAACGAACTCTGAACTCTGAAGTGCCGCTTGGCGGTGTCAGGTGTGGCAGATGAGCTGTGCAAAGCGATAACACGTTTCAGCTACGCAAAAAGGGTCGAGAGATCAAACCTCAACCTTTGGCATTTTTTTTTATTTTTTATTAATGAAGTTCATAAGCTATTTTTTAGCGATTCTATTATAAATTACTATTTTGAGAACAAAATAATATAAATAGTTAAAATAATTCACATACCTACATTAATTTTTGTTCATAAAATTCTTATTATATGATTAACACATTATTAAAACTGAATGTTCTTAAAAAAATGTCTCGCAATTTTATTTTTTCGCTTGAAATATGATTATATGTACATTTAAAAAAAGTTCTTCGTCTTTTTATAATTTGAGAGGAACTTTTTGAAGATCCACTGAAAAGTCATTTATTTATTAAAAAATGAGGCAAACAGATCTATTTCCCACTCTTAGTTAATTTTAGTTCACGTGTGTCAGTGCAATAAAAGTATGGTTTTAGACCGTCTGCATAAAAGTGAAATCCATGCGTGAGCGAAAATTATTGAATGGGTTGGTATCTTCAGTCCCTAAAATTGTTTAAAATTTAATTAAAATACAAAATAACGACACTAAATTCACATCTCGTATTCAAGTTTCTCATCCACAAGACTTAAAAATCTTAAGGCTACCACTGACAGTACGTCCATTTAGTAGACTTCCTTTGGATGCACTCCAAATGGAAATTTCAGAACGGTACCATTCACAATACTTCATTTGGATTCTATGGCGTCATTTAGAACTTTGCTAAACATATCGGAACCCAAATAAATAATCTATGGATAACAAATAACTGGTGGCACAATTGTGTGTATTATTAAAACTGAAAGGAACCTAAGGAGTGGATGAAGGATTGGTTACAGGCATGTGCTGTGGTAATTAGGATGTTTTACTTGCTCATAGACATGGATACATTTATATTTATTTATTGGTTCCATCTTGTAACGATCGCGTTGACAACATAATAAAAAATTTTATGTTAACAAATTCAGAATGTAAACCACACAAAATATGGACTGTGTTTGCGCATACGGACAAGTCGGACTGCTTCATATGTGGCGTACGATTCTGACATTTTAAGCTTGCCTGCCTAAGACGTCCATTTGCCTAACTGAGCTTCAACGTCAATCATCCCTGACGTCATCAATTAATATTTTTTTCATTCATGGGACGATTTTGATAGTCTGTGGATTAATGGACGTATCGTCAGGGACCTTTAGTGATTCAATCTATACGGTCTAACCAATTGCAACCACTTATTAGCTTCTAACTTCATTTAGTTTAATAAACATATAACCCGAATAAACATCTGTCAATAAAAACAACTTAACCAATTTGTCTTCGATGACACTGGAAGGAGACAAACATTATGAGGTAACCGAGTCTAGGCCTAGTTTAAATGCTCATAGAATTATATGCGGCGTGTGTCAGGCACGTAAGGCTGATCACCTACTGGCCTATTAGATTGACAAATGATAAAAAAACAGACCCAATTAGGGTTGTAGCGCCACTGATTTATTTTTTACTTTTACATCTTATTAAGGAAATCTAGGACTAGTATAGAAAAATAAAACACAATTTTTTGATAAAATACTTTATTTAAGCTCACATTATAAAATTTGTATGCTTTAATACTAACTAATATGGTATTATAAGCTAGATAAGTAGTGTAACCACTAATAAACAAATTAACTTAATTGAATCGACTTCATAGTATCATTTAGTCATCTTAAATTTATCAAGTATAAAATAAAATGATAAAATTCAATTGGTGCACCATTTAAAATCCAATTAATCCTGTTAATGTTAGTTGATTAAAAACATTCCGAAAGCTGTGTACAAAGCCTTAAGAAAAATTATGTCAAAATATTTATCACAATATTGCGAGCAGAATTTAATATAAGCACCGAAGAGTTAGATGAACGAAGACAACCAATTTGTGAAATACACCAAGCATTTGTCATATAACAATTTGTTCGATTTCATTAATCTTGTGTTATGTGTATTCCACAATTCGGATGAAATACATAATTAATAAATATTATTGGCAAATATTAAAAGTTATAAGAATTATTTACAGTTTAAATAGAAATTGGATTTTCGTTGATTTTTATGATTTCAATTTTTGACTAGTATACGTTATCAACTTACAAAAAGATTCTACACTGTGGCACGATTGCCGTAGCAATTTTGTTTTATATATTGGTATATAAGGTTATATACAATTAGTAAAAAACATATGATTGCCGCATGGTAATGCATTGGCAATTTATATATAGTGCCTAATACTCCTGAGTTCTTTTTATCGACACTGTTTTTAGACTTTTTATTTTCTTTAGGAGTTTGGAAAGATTTATTTGAGTTTTCTGCGCCATATTTAGGATTAGTCTCGCTGATTTTAACTTGATTATTTATTGAGATGTCATCGTTTTGTGTCTCCATTATATATTTAATCACATCTGTCTCTGTCTTTACCTCGTGAGGGACTGTGTCTTTAGCTTCGGAACATCTATTCAAACTTTCTTGTAAGTAACTGTCTATTTTGATTAGCTTCTCCGAAATCAAGGTATTGGCTAATGGACTGTGTTCCCGCTCAATTCTCATGCCCTCGAGTTTGTCAATCAGACCGTCCGGTTGAAGTAACTGTTCCTTACATAATGAATTTACAATTTTATAACTGGTAAGATCGTCAAAATCATTTTTCAGATAATTGACAGGGGTGACCGATCTTTTTATAAATTGTGAAGTTAGTGAATCCATTTCCGGCGGAACCGGTGTGAACTTGACTTTGATGACGTCTTCGTTGGTTATGGTTTCTGTTTTGACAATATCATCGACCATCGCTTTACCGTTGAGTCCAAAGCTTTCAGACACATTAGGTGAATCTGTAACGTCGTGTTTCGTAGAGCTTTGTATGTGGTCTATGGTTACTTTGCTGAGTAACTTCCCCTCAGTACTCCTTATATCGGAAAACAGCTCTCCATCGAAGTGGAGGGGGGTTTCCAATTTCCTGGTGCGTTGTGGTGGACCGAAAGGAGAAACAGAGACAGGGCGAAAAGTGACGGTAGAATAAACAGTGTCGGAGTTGTATACAATTTTTGGTGGGCTTCTAGCGGGCGTGAACCCTGCAGAAAGGTCTTCCTCCCCTGGCGAAGAAACTCTGTCCTTCGAGATTCTTTTTGCACACCTTTAACAAATAAAATAGAAATAAGGCACACATTACTGCAAACACGTGTTAACTGTAGGTATATTTTGTTGAAATTCTGTGTTAATTTTTGGAGATATACACATTTAAACCAAACTTAAAATACATAATTATTCTACAACACATATAATAGCCAAAACGTTGTACTGACACAAATCAAATATGTACAGGTCATCTACATACACTAGCAATCCCAGGCATCACACGCATCTACTAGGTACGTCTACTTCCTTCTAAACTCTTTAGAAGGTGATATTTTTACAAAACAATGTTAATACCGAGCCTTTAGACAAGATTCAAAAATTCAAAATTCAATAATTAACTCATTGTACACTTATGACTTGTAAGTAAAGAAATACATATTAATGCTTCTAATTTTACATTTAGTGCCAGTTCTTAAATCAAGGGCGTAGAACGGAAGAGGAGAACTGGCAATAAACTCTCCGCCACTCTTTTTAATCGCCATGTTTTTTTTCCTTTGTTGATGTGAATAGAAGTACCGAATTTATCATTATGGGACTCACTAAAGGCTCGAATATTCAAAATTTTACACACACGATTAGTTCCTGGGGTCTGGGGACATAGCACTGAATGGCAGCGTATGACGAGGTTGTGTATGAATACCTACTTCAACCTATCGGATAGTGTTCTGTTAACAAATGATTAACACAATGTCGCGGACACAGAACATTCATGGTATCACAAAGGGGGATTGTGTAAGTGGGATGTTGTTTTGACTATTATATGTTTGTGAAACGTCTTAAGAACCGCAGGTGTAACAGCTATGGCCCTATAAATAGAAGACGGTAGACATTATTCCAAAATATTTTTTTAAGGAAATGAACTTCTGTTTTAAAAATTTTGTTTTGTAGTTACGTACTACTATTAGGAACCAGTTTCCAGATTAATTTCGTCGCAACTTTTTTCAAAAATAGATTTTAAAATATTAACCAGTTCTTATTTTTTTAAGAATTTAAATTATTTAAAATTTCGTTTTGTAGTTTCTTCTATCGGGTTACAAATTTAATTAGGGCTAACAAATTTTCAGAATGGGCTTATTCAATTTCGCCATAACGTACCTATTTTAAAATCTTACATAATGCAATATATAAACATTTTTATTTTTAAATAACAACCAGTTCTCATTTTTTTTAAGAATTAAAATTATTCTGCTTGCAATACTTGTTTTGTAGTTACCACTGTTAGGATTTCAACAATTTCCCCGTAACTTTAGGTAATAAAACATCTATGTTTCACAATTGCCATAATTTTTTGGTTTATATATTTTGTAAGTGTCGTGTTTTCCTCTCATCATACGCACCGTGCAGTTGAAGCACTGACTGTGGTAGTTATTGTTGAGCGCCTCCACCCACCTGTCGCCGGCCTCCACTGGGAAACCGCACGCGAAACATTTCGTCGTGAATAACTCATTCCAGTCTATAAATAACAAATAATATTAGATACAGCCTATACTATAACTGCAATTATTATTGTAATTTCGTTTTTATTACTAGAGCGTCAATATTTTCATCAAAAATTTGTTCGTATCTTGCTCTTTCTAATGTTAATTCACACATTGACACCATTAACTTGGATACATTAAAATCAAATAACATAAATGATTAGGGATGCTATGATCCTTTATCGCTAACAAGCGATCACTTCCACGCAACCCTAGTAGCGAAAATAACTATAAAAATGGAATACAATAAATCATGAATCATTCAGAATTAAGAATTCAGTTCATTTAGAATAGTCAGTTATACTTTTAGCTTGCTGAACTACTAAAAACTTGTTTTATAGAAAACAAAATGTATAGAAATGGTTCTTTAGAAAGCACGAGACTGTTTAATGGATGATGATTACGAATTACTAAGCGTGTCCGTGTCTCTGGGCACCAGGTTTCTTGGAAATTAAAACTGTGGGGAAAGGGAAACGTGAGATTTGAGGTCGTGCAGCATGATAGGTTAATTACCTATATCAAATTTTTTATATTGATACTTAATATAAAAATATAATAATATCTATATAATAAAAATATAATAATATCTATATAAATATCTATTAAAATATAAAAATATCTGTAAAGTTACACTGGTAGACGCAGACACTACATTAAATCGTTTCCAATCGGATATAGTACTCGCGAAACCAAAGAAAATTAAACTCTTGACCACTTGCCTGCCTCACAGTAAGGTAAACCGTCTTCTAAGAAGAATGGATTGTTCCCGAAAAGCTTCCCGCAGTACACGCAGCTGAAACACTCGGGATGGAAATGTTTTCCAATAGCATTGAGGCAATCCTGAAAATCAATAGGAATTGTGAAAATTCTAAATAATAAGAGAAAATAAAATTTATCTCATCAGTATAGATGACTCAGAACGTGGGGCAAATAGCTAGAAATGTGGTTGTTTTACGTGATACCACTGCCCATGGACTGACAATGCCAGAAGGAATTGAAAAGTCTACTATAGACTTATTAGCTCACCCGGTTCATACAGAAATATGTTATGAATAGAAACATTGATCAATCGCACTCACACGTACCCACTTACTGAGTAAAATGTTAAATATGATGAACTATAAATAAGAAACCTGAGATTACACTGAGGAAAAGTTTAGTTCGCTCTATAAATTTTAGCATAAGAATATAACTTGTATAGCCAGATGTGGAAGTAAAATTATCATGTAATGAAAAGCTCTTCCTTCGAGCTTATTTCAAAACAATTTTAATATTACAGTGTAAACTCTTAATAACGAATTTCAATGGATCGAGCATTTTTATTCGTTATAGGTTAACTTAACTTCGATCATTTCTATTTTATTACTATCATATATAGTTGAAGTATTCTGAACACATATAATACATAACGTTTTTCTTTTACTGGCCATCTTGACAGTTTCAAAGTTTGTTTACGACTGATAATTAATACACGATAGGTGACGGTGGTGCGTTTAGTAACTGAGACCAAAATTTCCTACAGGCAATGTAATCTAAGTATAAAATAATGAATCTGATTATAAAAACAACACTTAAGTATGTTGTTGATGTCTAAATATGAAAATATTTCTTCGTTATAGAGAATTATTGTTGCGTTATAAAGAGTGAGTTAATGTATGGGTTTTGTGTTAAACCAAACAAAAGTAATTTTTTGCGTTATAGAGAGTTTAGTTTATTTTAAAGTACGCTTACCTCCTTAATCTTAGCATGGCACTTGTCGCAAGCCGGGGCTATATATTGTTCGAAACAGAACTCGCAGTACAATTGACCGTTTTCTTCGACAAATCCAATGTCCTGCAAGGGACGGCGACATGTCGCGTTCACGCAGATGAAGTGTTCAGGACACCAGATGCGACCCAAGGCCGTTATGAATGGGCCCCTAATAATAAACACCATTTAGTGTTATTTAATGATTAAATAATCTCAGTTGTTCTATATGGAATACTTAATTCAATGTTAAACTGCAAATTGTAGCACATGCCACAAAAACCATGCTAAATTATGCACACACGTTATTATCCAATTCAACAATTAAAGTACGAATTGTAGGCATAATTTGAATATAATCATCGCGATTGAATACAAATAATTTGTCAGAAAAACTTTAAAAAGAAGTGAGAATAAAAATTCAAAATCCATGATTCAATTACATATTTGGTTGCTGGTAATTCGGTTTATTAATCTGAGTATATTAGGTTACCTACCTAGTTATGGCTTTGTCACATACATGGCATATGTATTGTCCATCAGAAACATCCACTGAAGTCATTTTACTTAAAGGTCTCGCGATTATATGAGAGTCTCTCCTACCATCGTCTTTCTTAATGTTTTTCTTTTCACGTCTTCTAACAACGACTTCTTCTGAATCGTTTTTGGTAGTATTGGAATCTAGATGATCGTGTCCGTTTATTTCGTGTACATTTTTATGGTTATTATCGTTTTTAGGGGATTTAGAATAAGTGTACAGTGAATTATCATGCAAGCTATTATTAAGGATTCGTGTGTTGTCGGTCCCTCCCTGACTTTTTATAAAATCTTTTCCGTTCTCTACATTACCCAACGGCTTGTTGATGTTATTTTTATTAGTTATCAAATTTGAGGAGCCGTTTCTTTCTGAAATTTTGTTGGCATCGGAGCCTTTGTTTATTGTATTGTAATCTAGAGAACTGAATGTATCGTTGATAGCATCGCTCCTTTCAAATAACTTCCTTTTTGACATTGTATTAGAAAACGCATTATCAAGTTTTGTGTCATTCTTATTGTTTTCGTAATTGGGTGTGCTCTCAAATGGTTTATTGAATCCAGTCTTCTGTTTTAAAGTTTTAATGGAGTTATTTTCCATTTTGTTCTGTTTACTTTCTTCGGAACTTAAATATCCGTTACCATTTTGAATTTTCTCAGAGTGATTAAAAGTCGGTTTTATAATTGGATCATCGATTATTGTAGAGTTATGATTATTAAATATTGGGATAGGTGTGGTCGGTAGTGGTGGTGGAATTGGAGCATCATCACTGTTATTCATAAACTTGGCGGACAAATTGTTATGTACTGGACTGATTTCATGCTTAAATCCCCTTTCTAGCACTTTCTTTGAAGGTCGTGTAAGTGTGTTGTCTCGACTGCTTTCACCAGAAGTCAAATTGTCTGAATTATTAAGAGGATGTTTTGTTACAATTGTGTCTTGTATTCGATCGGCCATTGATTGAATATGATCGGCGGGTTTTATTTTTCTTTGAATGCCAATTTCATATCCATTTAATGCCATTTTGGCCATTTTCCTTATCAGGCGCTCTTCAGCTGGACTTTTAAATTCCATTTTGTGAGGACTTGCTGTGTTTTGTGTTTCATTAGCTGTTAGAGAAAACAAAACATCTATGAAAACAACACACACTAAAAGCTTGTTAAGTGTATCAACTTTTCTTATATAATGTCAATAAAATTAAATTCATTATAGAAGAAAAGTTTCTTAGCATTAATGCATGCTCTTATATCTAATTAATATAAAACTAAAGTAAATCCTACTCTACATGCAGCTAGCAGTAACAGTTTCACACGCTTCAACACTTAGTCACCTAACGTTTCCGTTGCAAGAACCGCAAAGAGGAACGCGAGATCCTGGTAGCACAGCTTTGTTCAAAACTCCCCTCCCCCTTTTTGGAGCCGATGACACGCCAAAAGTTTTGCCACGAGCGGCAGCCCCTACACTGGAACCTGTTGATGGGGTAGGATCACACACTGGACCTCGGTTAGCACCAGAAATTGAAGGACTCATTTCAAACGTACTTGTATGAGTTTGTCTAGTGGTATCCACATTTTCATTAGTAATATTAGAAGAGAAATTTTGTGTAGAAGGCGAAAAACTCATGGCAGGTGAAGGTAAAGTTTGCTTAAAGTTAATAGCAGATGGACGATCAAAAGCCTCTATTGGTTGATATGAATCAGAAGACGCGAAGCCACCTTTTTTGATTTCTATCATTTTAGCAGTTTGAGCGCTTTCGTATTCTTCAAAGGTTTTTCTAGTGGTCTGCACTGTCGTATGCCCATATTCTGCCACATTCTGTGACTCCATCTGTCTTTGTCCATAATTTTGGTTCATCATAGTATCCTGCTTTACGGACATGTCTCCTTTGTTATAACTTTCAGACTGTCTTTCAAAGTTTGATCGATTTTCTTCCTGAACCAATGGAGGTCTATTTTCATAATAGGCTGGTTGTGTCTGAACTGGGTAAAGATCTCTTTGAAAAGTAGATGGTAGTTGGTGTGAGAAAGTTTCACTTTGGCCGAAATTACTTTGAGAATAATCTTTAATACGTGGGGCTTGGGCTTTGGAAGAAGGCCCTTGAGCCGGTGTTCGCGATCTTGGCTTAGGAGTAGGTGTACGACTGCCTTCTCCTCCAGGCGGCTGATATGTATGACTTTCTGGTGCATAATGTTCCATAGTAACTAAGTTCATCTGATACCGAGGTATTATAGGTGCAGGTTTATTTATAAGGCTTGGAGTCGAAGGTCGACTTCGAGGTGGTGATGTTCTTATGGTATTTTCATCTGAAACAGGTTGAGAAACCATAGAAATAGGTGTGATCTTACTTTTTAACGTTTGGGGCGATTCGCTAACTGACATCTTAATATCTTGTTCTCTTTTCAAAGGATGTAATGGCGCAGGAGCTACAATAGTAGGAGAGTCATTTTGTTGAGACGTATTTCTGTTTGCGGGATTCACTACAGGAATAAACGTTTCTTGTGAAACACCGAAAGCATTTGGAGAGGAAGGTAAATCCTGTTGAAATTGGGGCTTGTTTATAATTTTGGTTTTATTTACTGGTATATCACCTGGAAGTGTCGATAGTTTTGATGAGACTGTGGTCGATAATGAGGTCTGTTTTTGGTCTAATTGTTCGAAATAGCTTTGGGTTGTATGCGTTGAGCTAGATGATGCACAAGTTGTAGCAGATTGTGAATTGGATGACATAGATTGAGTGTTAATGCTACTATCATTTACAGACGTAAAATTCAATTGTTGCGATGAATATTGACCAACTGGTCGAAAAGCAGAAACTTGAGAACTTGTTTGCAAATTGTTACAAGTATTATTCGTACTTGTATTAAAGCGTTCTATGTCTTTGGTTTCGAATTCATTAAGTACTGATTGTGGAATAAGTTGTTGGGAAGACATTGAATGAAAATCTCTCGAATAACTATCACACATAGAAAGAGAAGAAGTAACATCAGTATCATTTAACAAAGTATTGTCCACTTTACATATATTACTAACAGGTGTAAAAGGTCTATCAGGCATTGTGGTCAGAGCCGCCACCATCGGGGATATATCGGACTTCTTTTCAGAGGTTGAAGTTGGTGTTTTAGTTTTTTTATTGGTCGGCCTAGACATAGAAGGCTTTACTTGACCTGGTTTAGAGGTTTGAAAACTTTGAGAAATCGTATCTTTTTGCGATACTTTCGAACTATTGCCAGTAGATTGCAAAGAACCACCCTTACCTTGATTTCCATGACTTGGTGTAGATATGTTCTGCGGTTTTGTATGTGAAATGTTATCACTGAGATTTGTTAAAGTATTCTGTGTTTCAGTATTGTTATAATTGAATTGGCCTCTGTTTTGTGAAATTTGTGGTTGGGTCTCGTAGGAATATGAATTGCTAGAATGAGCTGCATCCAATGTTGATGGGAATGCCTTGATAGTCGATTTCTCATTTGAACTGTATCCTTTCGTTTCATGCATTGACTTTTCCATAAGTTTGGTTTCATTGGTGCCAATTGATTGAAATTCCGATGGTTGAGTCTGATATGCCATGTAGGTCCGTCCTTCAGATGACGCTTGTTCCGAAAATGATTGAACGGTGCACGAAGAAAATTCTTTCGCTACTTGTGATTCTTCACTTTGGATAGATGATTTGGTAAATGATGAATCTGCTATTGCGGTAGACATCGAAGCGGATGAAAATGAGACAGAAGAAGAAAATGCATTTTCTTGTGATGTTGATATAAATTGGTCACCTGATACAATTTGATCTTTCTCTACTTTAGATTCAGTAGCTTTCTTTAACAATGTGCCCGTTGTAATGGAAGCGGGATCTCCAGTGGGATTACTGGGAGCATATTCTGAAGAAGTTTGTAAAGGTGTATCGTCTTCTGGGGGGTTCGGTGGGGGCCACACAATGCTTTTAACGTTTTTGTCTGTTAGCGTGTTATCGGAAACAAATGTTAGAAATGGAGGGAGGGACAAAAAAATACAAAATATATTAATTAACTGAATATAGATTACATTAAATTATAAGCTGATCTGTTACTGCTTAAATTAAGAGCGTCTGTGAATTGTATGATATTTATACCAAAACAGCTTAGCGCATTCCGAAATAATATTTACACTGCTTGTAGCTGAATGAAGCTGTGCTGTGAATTATTTCCTATATATAAATTACCTTTAAATAATGAAACAGGTGCCTCTGTCAAAGATACATTGAAATTTAGAACAACTGATACAGAATGTAAAATAAATAAACTTCTTTATTACTATAACACAGCTACAAGAGCGATTTAATTTACACGTCTAATTAAAATTATCTGTAGTATAACGACGAAGCTGTAACAATTGTGTATACACCTAAAATATATAAGCAACGTAAATAATGAAGCAAGCCTGCAAATTTTCGAATCCGTAAGGCAATTTTAACACAATATTTTTCTCTTACATGTACAATGTATTGTAAATTATATCAATATCAAAAATATATTTGAACGCGCACTGGATATGAACTTAAATATTAAGCTTTATAATTTAGTCTATACAGCAAATGTGACTCTCTTACTCGGTGCGAAGGGAGCAGAGAGTGGTGCGGCCGGCGCCGGAGTATGCGCGGGCGCTACCACGGGACGCGCGGGAGACATCGGGGCCGATCGGGGGGAAAGAGATGGCGAATATGCCGACCCGATTGATGAACCGAATGGCTTCGGACCAGACAGGTTACTTCCGGGCTGAAATAGAATCAAAAATAATTAAATAAAAATTAAATATATTAAATACGGCAAAACTGTTTGTCTTAGCTCACTTAAACAGGCTTCATAGCCATGTGAATGCTGAGGCAATCCCACTTCTTGACACAAAAAAAAAAAAAACCCCCCCCCGGGGGGGGGGACCCCCCCCCCCCCCGAGCAAACCACATAATAAATAAGATTTCTATTAAGGTAGACTATTGCACTGAGTCACAACAGGAGATAAGACGTAAAGTAAACTGTAAATAGATAATTATATGGAATAAATAAATAAATAAATAAATAAAGACACCAAAAGTAAACTAAAAAAAGTATCTCGGACACACGAACATGTGACAAAACATTATAGAAAACTAACACTGGTAATGAACATTACCTTAATTTAAGCTTTACACTAGTATTGTAGAAAATTCAGTCAACATAATATTACTTATTAGCCATAATTATGAATTGATTTTAATTCATGTAAAGTCGCACTCACTTTTTTTAAACTTTATTGTAGGAAAAAATAATCATAAATAAACGAGAATGTTTTAACCTACATATTAAGTGACCTAACATAACTATTTTAGGTGAAATGAATGAAACAGTTAAACTTTATCGTGTCAATTATAAAAGTTCAAAGATGGCTAAGATCTCTTTTGCTATTTGGACTATTTTCATGCCTTTTTATAAATTACTTTATCTTGAAGCTGCATAAAATATTACACAACAAATATGGCAAAACAGAAACGTGCCGAATGCTAACACCAGGCTCGTTAGAGTCAATTCGTACACCGGACAAAATATAGAGGCATCCGAGATGTGTATTGGAGAATGTTGTATATACCATGGACTGCAAAAACGAACCAATTTTCAACCAACTAAAGATCACCACAAGACTGTCAACTATCATTTACAAACGTGTGATTAGCTAATTTGGACGTATTGCCAGGAGAGGACCAAATAGTCTCGACTAGTTGGTAATGGTAGGGAGGAGTGATGGCAGGAGAAGTCGGGGTCGATCGTCTACCCGTTGGTCTGACCAGGTAAAGACAATTATGGGTCTCAACATCCCTAATGCACTGAGACCAGCTGAGGATGGTGTGGAGGCAGCAAGTCGTTGTATCACTTAGGGTTGTTCAAGACAAGCACGACCTTCAGTAATGAAGACTATGAATATGAACTACATTAAAAAATTATATTTAAATTAAAAGGATTTCTGGATTCTGTTTTAATAATTCATCACAAAGTTCAAAGTAAATGACACAAAATAGGCGGTAATTGAATGAAGTCACTTAACATAAGTAATTACTTGCAAGATCGCCATTCTTTGTTCATTCATTTTTCATTCACTTGAAACAGCCCCTGTTTATCACTCGATAGTTGTCCAATAACTACCAGCTTCATCAATCACATATTATTTTAAACCCGATATCAAGGTGAAATTCTCGACACGATCAAACGTTGCCAAAAGTGTCACTATTCTGACGTTATAGACCCTATTTATAAGTGAATATTATTATTATCAATAGAAATAGCAATGGACTTTAGAGTCAAAAGAATAATATCTATTAATAAACAACTATTTACAACAATTGTTTTGTAACGTGACTATATATAAAAGCCTTGGCTATTTAAAAGTGAGACAGAGGGTTGCCAGTTTGTTCTACGGCTTTGATTTGAGAACTGGCATTAAATGTAAATGTTAAAACCAATTCTTATGTTACATCAATAAATGGTATATATATATTTGAATAGGCACACTGAAAGGTAAGTATTTATGGGATAAATATACTATTAATTATATAAAGAAAGATTTAAAAATTTTACTAATAAAATTTTAAACAGATTGAAAACTATAAACAAAAATTCTTTCCCCATTAAAATGCTACATTTAGGCTATATTTATTCCCAAACCATTAAATATCCCTTAAAGGCCGGCAACGCACCCACTAAAATGGGTGCCATGACTGCTCTTTTTGGGCGACCTGTAGGCTAGCTTGCCTGATTTTTAAGCGGTAGTTCTAGGAAAGGAGTCTCTAGATTTCGCACCTAGGTAAATATTTTTATGAACATTATTCTGAATATTTATAATGTTCTAATAAAAGGATTTATTTGTATACATATTAAATTTAAAGGCCGACCTCAGAGTGGGCCATGACCGCCTTTGAGTTCGCGTATATAACCACAATACATATAAATAAGAAGTAATAAATATTGTTACTCACGCTAAACAATGATGAAGACCCATTGGTGTAGTTGCCTGTGGATAGCGGAGGCAATGGCGTTGTGTACGGGTTCGTTGGGATGCGTCCACCACTGTTAAACCATTATAACTATATAGCAAATCGTCAAAGTACATCTTATATAGTCTGTAGTTTTATAAAAAGGTGATCCATAGAAATCGGTACTAGAAAGACATTTTCATAATTGAATTATTAATTACTCTTCAGTGAAAGCAGGAGCAGTGTTGGCTACAGCGTGCGACTCTCATTCCGACGTGGTTCGATCCCTAGCTGTGCACCAATGGACTTTATTTATATCTGCGCATTTTCTGTATTTAAACCTTACACAGGTACAGAAGACTGATTACCTACTTGCCTAATAGAAAACTTTGATAATGAAACAGATGTATAAAAATCTAAGGCCCAGACCTAAAAGGTAACGTCACTGTTCTTTGTTGTGGTTAATTACTCTTCAAGAGCGTAAATCAGATAATTGACCTCTTTCAGAGCGATTTTACAATATATTTATAACGCTCTGAAAAGGATCTTTCAGGATTTTCAATGTTTCCTGCAGTCCACACATTTCACAGCAATATTTTTTTATGGAACAGGAAGCTAACTGATAGGAGGCTCATCTGATGTTAAGTCATACCGCCGCCCATGAACACTCTCAACGCCAGAGGGCTTGTGTGCGTTGCCGGCTTTTGGTACAATTTTTTCTTGAAAGACCCTAGGTCGAATTGGTTCAGAAATTGTGGGCAGCAGGTTCCACATAATGGTGGTGCGCGGCCAAAACTGCCTTGGTCAGTTCTGGAACGATGGACGTCGTAATACGGGTGGAATTTCGTATTCTGCCTCGACATCCGATGATGAAACAAATCACTTATATGTTGTTTGAGGTACGCGACTACTATGGGAACAAGTAAATGGATAAAATGTGTCTGAAAAGTGAGCGATGACAGCTTACAGCATCTATTCTCCTCTTGGAAAAGAGATAACCTAGAATACTTACGGTGCTACGGTAACAGGCTCCAAGTTCGGGGCCGGTGGGTTTTGGCGAGCCACGAGCTTAGCGTGAATGTCGCAGTAGAGTTTGCCATTCAGGTTGTAATAACCCTGGTTCTTTAGCGACGATCCACAAGTTGAGCATTTGAAGCACTCAACGTGTAAGTTCTTGTCCTTTATACGCACGAATACACCACTGTGGAGTGAGTTATTTTGACTTTAAGTTTATTGATGTATGATAAGAATATTTCCTATCGTTTGGCGTGATTTGATGACTTGATTCATCGATGTTTTTATCATTAGTGATGTTATGTACCTAATGAATTCGACTTATGTGTACGTATGACATGCTTTCTTGTACTACGTGCTTCATTCTACAAGGCAAGTTAAATCTAGATACAATGTGCCTAAACGCTGACCTATTGACAACATGCCAAATGACTACGTAGATGATATGATAGTGTGCGTTATGAACAATGAGTTATTTGTGACTTGTGGTCATGAACGATATAATGTATACATATCGTAACATCAAAATATACAAAGTGTTCAGCGACGGTATCATTGTATGTACAAAGATACCGCTAACATTAAAATTATCTATGCGCGTGTTAATTAGACTACTACATTTACACATCGACACGGTTGCAAAATCAGACATTTCGAGCTTATCTTACACGATGTGGCTGTCACAGTCGGAGCAAAATGGTGCGTCGCTGACGACCGGCAGGTGGTTCGATGGCTGAGGCTGAGCCGGCACTCCGAGAGCGATCCGACCGTCCGGTAACACTTGATGGCAGCCCACCGGGATGCTTGGCCGGTGAGGCGCTTCCGGCACGAGCCGATCGGAGGACTGTCCCTCGCGTGACAAGGATTGCACCCGACGAGTTTGAGGCTTTGGTAGATGGGGCGGGGGCGCACTTTGGGTGCGTGATTGCGAAAGAAGTGACCGAGCGCTCGGTGCCCCAGCACGCGTCACGCTTGCCCGCGAGTAAAACGTTTGTGGCGGCTCTGCCGATGCCCGCAATATCATTATTTACTACTAAACATTACTACATGACTGACGTTTCATGCAAGAAAGGATTAGTTCGCCATCAATCGTGTTAAATTCAGGTGGGATGCCTTATCGAAATGAAATTTGATTTGAAATGCCAAAATAGCCGTTTGCAACCGTGTCGAACATATCGTTCGACTTACGTAATAAGGCGCTCGCAATCTTCACAGATATTCTGTCCCACGGGAAGTCCTCCCGTGTTAACGGGTACCTCGGGTTTGGCGACCGGCGCCTGGACATGCCTTAGACCACTCACTGGCGTTGTCGGAGCAGATGGCGCTTCGGCTTTTAGACAATTACCAAAATCAACAATTTTGAAATAATAAGAGGGTAGATACACAGGAAATGAGATTTACCAATGACAAATACAATTATGATTGCAATAAGGCATATTTTCTATAATTTATTTTTAAACATCAATTTGACTAAAGCTTTACCTGGTTCCGGATCATTTTGCTCCTCTTGTAAAACTTTGAAAACTGCGCTCTTCTCAGAATCGTATGTTTTTTCGTTCTTCTTAAAATTCACTCTGTAATCACAAATATAAGTCTGGTCTTAGGCGAACTTTTTGTTAGTATTTATAAATACTATCAATCATTTCAACGTATACCCGTTAAGATAGCCGTAAATACGTACCCTAGGACTCCGCCTGCAAGAACTTCAGTTTGCGCAGAGAGCGTCTCAGCGATGGTCTTGTCACTGTACATGTTGACAGGCGTATTGTACTGCTTGTTCACGATACCCTTCATCGAATCCGAACCGTTCATCTGGAATTTATGAACGCGTCTATTAATTTTCCCTTCGCTCAAGCTTGGTATTAGTCTGTGTCAAACGATATTCATTTCGTCCAATTTTGTACACAATACAAAACGGGAGATACCATATTAAAAAAATTTTACACTGCGAGTGCGTTGTTGATTTGGGGGCAGTAAAGAAAAGGTTTCCTAAAGTTTTTATTTAATATGCCTGCCTTTTATTACTGCTGTACATTGTTTCTTCGGAAATCGGAAATCAAAGCTTCCGGAATAACCAAGAAGAAATTACGAACAAATTATTTCAATTTATGACTGTGTTTGGCGAACCCTTCTTTGTATTTAGGGGTCCATTCCTTTATAATAAAATCTCCCAATGTATGGTGGTATCAGGTATGGTATGATATGGTATGTATGATTCTGATACAAAATCACAAATCACTTAAAAATTACGGTAAACAAATTGGATTTCGAATCTTCGGAGGCCTTCCTACGTATCTGGGCATGGATGGATTTTCTTTCTATGTGCGCATTTAACATTCGCTCGAACTGTGAAGGAAAACATCGTGAGGACACCGACATGTCTTAAACTCAAAAAGTCGACGGCGTGTGTCAGGCACTGAAGACTGATCACCTACTTCCCTATTAGATTGAAAAACGATCATAAAACAGATTCAGAAATGTGAGGCCCTGATCTAAAGAGGTTGTAGCGCCACTGATTTATTTTAATAATGATAATTTTGAAAAAAATGGCTGTAATACTTACATAACCAAATGGTTTAGCAACACTGTTGTGGCCAGAACCAAACGCCCGTGACGCTTGAGGTGTCGCCTTCAGTGAAGTGTTGGTGACGGGAGTCGGAGATGTACCAAGTGCCCTGGAACCAGGCCTTGGCAGGCTGCCTGTAGGAGTCACTGATGGCCTCCAGGTTCCACCACCACTGGAATTAATTAATTTTAGGTTTTTAACATTCCTTTGTTTTTCAAAAGTTTCAATGGATGCACAGACTTTAGGAAATGGCTCATTTTATAATCCTCTTCATAGGGACCATATCCCCTGAATTTATACTAATATTATTAAGAGTTTGTTTAGTTCAATCTCAGGAATTTAAATTGAAAAATTCCATTCATCGAAGGCTATATTACACTCACTCATGGGGATGAAACCGCAAAACTCGGCGCCTTGTACCACCTGTTTAAGCATTAATTATAATTCTGATAAAGCATTAAATAGCAATATTTCTTCTTTTGGTGCCTCCCTATTTCTGGAGGTTGGGCATCAGTCTGGTGAAGCGTGTCTTGTCCTGTTCCAGATGGAGCAACCCTTCCACTCGTACCCATCCCTAACGTTACGAAGCCATGACTTTTTCCTTCTACCAACACGCCTTTTGTATTAAAAGAACAGTCATAAACACATGCATACTTCCAATTCTGTCATATGGATGACAAACGTGGCCAAAAAAGCGCTAATAAAGAAGATTGGAGTATGCCAAAGGGCTATGGAGCGTTCGATTCTTCGATTAATACTTAAAGCCAAAGTTAAAAACGGTGTGATACGAAGCCGTACAAACTTAAAAGACGTCGTAACATAAAAGAGTTAAAGTGGAAATGGTCCGGTCACATTTCCCGCATTTGTGACGGCAGATGGGTAAAGAAGACTCTTAATGGGAAGATGAAATAAAAGTGATAGCGACTTGGAACATTATCGCGAGGAAGAGATAAGTGGAAGAATTTGGAGGAGACCTTCACTCCGTCGGAGGTCGAGTAGTGTAAAACTTAAATGACATGAACTTAGTGTAGTTTGAGAAGTGTAGTACTCGAATAAATGCTATTAAAAAAACACGTTTATTCAGTGACAGTACCAAGTTAAAAATCGTAAAAAAAGTGTTCTATTGTATTTCTATATTTGTTGTTTCGAAGCCTTTTCAAGACATTACGCAAATGGCTTGCATAATGTAGATAAGCGGCTGACTACCATATAAGACGTCGAAGTAAATAAACTTGAATGCATCTTGAATGTCAATAATATTATTAATGCATCGGCGGAAGCTGAACGTCTTGTGTACGGAAGATGACAAAACCACAATAGCCTTTTGACATTGAGAGATTAAATTTCAGTTCTATGTTTTTATTATTGCTTCGTAATTTTTACATTAACAACGTCGTAACACACAAAAAAGTTGAAGTGGAAATGGGCCGGTCACATTGCCCGCTTTGTGATGACAGATGGGTCAAAAAGAGTTACTTGGAATGGCCCAGTGGGAAGAAACCAGAGAGGATGCTCATTGGAAAATGGTGACGAGGATGAGAGAGAAATTTAAGAATTTGGAGGCAGTGTACATAACGACATTGACTTAATGTAATGCTGATTATATAGCACTTAAATACAAGCTATTTTTTATTTTTTATTAATAGTCATTTGTTAGTTTAGATTGACATTCACACCTAAATAGAATCACGTATACATGAGTTTCCAACAGATTTGTATTTTTAAGTAAGATAGATAGGGGTGAAAGAATTTCCAGAAATTAATCACGCTATATAATAATAATAGCCTTTATTGAATAATAATGAATCGGAAAGCCGGTTACTTTGTGTTTTACAGCTTGCTCCTAGACATAGGCCTCTTCTAAGAGCTTACACTCTTATTGGTGTCTAGCTTTACATAGCCTAATAGGGCCGGCTACTCTACTTATATCATCTTTTTATTTGCCTTCGCTTTCTTTTGGCATGGCGAGGAAGCCATTCATCGCTTTTTTCGTCCATTTATCTTTGTCTTCTCGCATTGTGTCCTGTCCATTTCTATTTCAATGTTTTACTAGAAGTAACCGCATTTCTAAACTTTGTAAAATCTCGCCATATAACTTCTAGCAATTTGAATATGACAGGTCTATCAACAGCTACAAGATCCTACTGAGCGTTTTTTAACGCACTTTTTCCGCGGATCACCACTAAGTGGATCCAACTGCCCAAGTATTACCGAACCAATTCGACTTAGGGTCCTTAAAGAAAATAGCGTACTTCTTAAACGGATGGCAATTTGCGAGACTTCTGGCAGAGTGAGGGTCCATGGGCGACGGTATCACTTAACATCAGGTGAGTCTCTTGCCTGTTTGCTCCAATAAAAATACTTCTACCACTTACCGTTGCACGGTGAGTTCAAGAGCAGTCCCCGCTGCCCGGATGGTGTCTTGCGCCTCTTGGTGTCGCAACGCATACACCTCAGTATTATTTACTCGTATTAGAGCGTCACCAGCTTGCAGACCCGCCCTTTCAGCTGCGCTGCCACCGTTCACCTGAAACGGATGGATTTTAGATAAGTTTTTGAAGAGCAAATGTATGGTGGATGTGAGTTGTCATAATATAGTAAAAATCCCATGACTCTTTGTCGGCATCGGCTTTGCACCAATCTTTCTTTCTATTTGCGTATCTAATGGATCATTTGGTGAAGGAATCGTGAGGAAACCGACATGTCTTAGACTCAAAGATGGACATGTGTCTGACAGAAGTCTGGCCTACTTGTCTATATAAAAAAATATCAAAGAATCGCGATCTCAGGCTAAAACTATATAGGCTTGTAGCACCATTGGATTATGTATGTAACCTAATACGATTGACGTTTAAAATTCAGGCTTTTGAATATCATTACTAATGTTTTCTTACTACTAATGTTTCTGCATATGTATTAAGCACATATAATCCTTAATTTATTGTCAAAGAAAAGTAGCAGGTTTATTATTGATAGTGTTCACTAACCGCCAAAGTGTGAGACGTACTGTAATTATAAGTGTAAGAGGATTCGTAAGTGACAAGAGATACAAAATTTCCCAAAGAGTCTTGACACGGCTTCCGAAAGTAGATACTATATCTAGAACACATTCCGTATTAAGAATTACTATCTTTACCTAGACCTAAAATATGTTTGAATCAAGGTTATAGAAAAACTAACATGACTCGGTTTCGTTAGAAATAGCTATTTGTAAACATCGCATTCTTAGAAGAGAGCAAGACTTTTCTTTTACAATTTCAGTTCAAAGCTACTTCTCAATGAATTACATTCACTTAGTGAGAAAATTTAAGGTTGTTTAGTTTATGTACATGGACAGATGAAATGTTGAATGGAATGAGCTATTAGTTACTAAGCATTGTTGGCCTAGTGGCTTCAGCGTGCGACTCTCATCCCTGAGGTCGTAGGTTCGATCCTGGCTGTGCACCAATGGACTTTCTTACTATGTGCGCATTTAACAATCGCTCAAACGGTGAAGGACAACATCGTGAGTAAACCGGATTGCCTTAAATCCAAAAAGTCGACGGCGTGTGCACAGAAGGCTGATCACCTACTTGCCTATTAGATTGACAGATGATCATGAAACAGATTCAGAAATCCGAGGCCTAGACCTAATTTTATAGCGCCACTGATTTATTTATAGTTATGTACGTCGTGTTATCAAATTATTAGAAAATGTTCTGCAAATAATAAAATATAAACTGTATGTAACTTGTAAAATTGTTTCGCTTAAATAAAGAAACAAAATTAAGTAAAATATTTATTACAAAAGTGCAGATTTAGGAACTTTTAAAATAAATAGGTAAGTAGAATAATAAAAAATATTGAATGTTTTCCATAGTCAAATCAGCTATCATTGGCATTGTAACATCTTGCATAGTAATAAGCTAGCTGCTGTGGTCTCTGGCAGAATGACCAGCGCTGTGGAGCAGTCTCCTGCTCAGCATAATGCTGGGCCAGGGCCAATTACAACCGCAGCACACACGCATTACACAATTAAAACGCACCTTGTTCTTTAAAAGAAAAAAAAATTACCTTTCATAATTTTTGATACTGTTTCGATTATTGTTATTTTGTGTGTTTCTGTGTGTGTGTTTTGTCAGTAAAAAATGTTATGTCTATGTCTAAATATGCGTCGTACTAAGTATAATTCACGTTTAAATAAATTAAACAAAAAAACAGTGTTGAAGTCAAAAATATTACCTGATATTACGAAGGTGAGCGTAATCAGTTTAAAATTAAACCTTTACCCAAGTCTAGGTTACCGGACCGGTCTTGTATTCTAGGCTAAACAAGTATTTTTTGCCAGGAATGCATCGAACTCTGGAATGTGGGGAGGGGCGGAAGGAAACGACTATGACGTCACTTTAACCGTCTGCTTAATGCACGTGCGATCACAATTTGTCCAGACTTTAAATTTTACGATTTTTGTAATATCTTTAAAGAAAATGTATTTTAGTATTTATAACTACAGTCCAATAATATGTGCAACTCTTTAGTTAGTTATAACATACTCCACAGAATACAATTGAAAACACGGAAATACTATGTAGGTTAATAATAGTGTAAATACTGCATATTTGTGTGTTGGAAATAAATATAACATTTGACGTGCTTATACCATCCAAAAAATAACCGCTGTAGCCGTAAGCCATTGTAAAAAACACAGATATTTAACTTAATTGTATTTCGTGATTGGGATGAAAAAAGACGACAAAAACAACAGGAAATATTTGCATATACAAATATTTATTTACATAAATTCTCAGCATTTGCATATTAGGTACCTAGTAACAATTAACTAAAGTTCTTTAACGTCATGAATTTATAGAAATATGTGTACTAGACACAACTTACGTACAATGCAATTTACTTACAAGAGGGCCTTCAACTGCAAAATTCTCATTAGCAAAGAACACCTGTTTCCTAAACGAATATGTATTAAATTACACGGACAATTAAAACGCGAACCTAATAAGAATTAAGCTACTAAACCTTAAGGCTTCGCATTAAACGGGTTTCGGACACTCTCACTTTTTATTTGCTATCACAGAACAAAACGAAACGTACGCAAAATGGCGAACTAAAGTTAAAGGCACACGCGTCAAACTTTTATTCTTTCCCCTCCCCAATTGAGGTCATTGCGATGTCCAGCTTTTTCTTACTGTCCACATAATTTACTAAACGTGTCTTAAGTAACTTTTATTTATTATCTTTATAATGAATACGATAAACTTAATGGTAATTTTGATAGTGAAATATATATACTTTTTTTTTTCAATTGCTTTGCTTTTTTTATGCAACAGGAGGCTCATCTGATGTTAAGTGATACCGCTCATGGACACTCACAGCCAGGAGGCTCGCAAGTGCGTTGCCGACCTTTAAGGAAATGATATATTGAGGGGGCCGATGGCTGGCCATGCGTCATACTCGTGAACGGGTGCTACTTATGGTAGGACTTGAATTCGTGTATGCGGTGACGGTAGTTATTTCGCTATTTTAGGCTCACAAGTGCGTTGCCGGCTTTATAGGAAATGGTACGCTCTTTTCTTGAAGGACCCTAAGCTTACCATTCCCTCTCTTGTTCATAATAACACAAATCCTTTGCTATAATTTATTAAACCTTGCAAAACATTTTTTAATCATAAACTTAAATGATGATGACCTGGAAAGTGTCTTTTATCGGAGTTCACGCCTGAAATAACTACAACCAAGATTTTTGAGTAGGTATATTATCTAATATACTCTTGCTCTTTCGTTGTAAACGTTGTTGATATTCATAAGCATGCTCTAAGAAGCATCTAAATTGAATAAACGTATTTTGATTTGATTTGATTTGATTAATAGATTCCCGACTTATTGGTTTTGCTGCAAAACCGTTCACTAGGAGGAATTTTGTGCGAGATTTTTATTATTTACATGGGCTATAGATATAAGCATTTATACGGTTTCTAAAATATGAATGTTTGTGAGAATTTAATTACATTTTGGTCATGTTTCTCAGGTTAAAAATCATTGAAATGACCTAGGCAAGCGAACAGATTCTTCGATGACTCACTCGAATCGTGATCTTGATAACGTTTACGCTTCACACAATTAATAACAGATTTAAATGCTTTAAATAAGTTTGTCCTTGCTTTGTATTTTACGGCTGTATTTTTTAAAACTTTTCATAGAAATATACACCTATCATCACGAAAGGATCAATATGTTCTATAAACGCATGTATATTGTATATATGATCCCTATAAATATACTTTTCTACTTGTTTTTGTTTTGTCATGATTCCGAATTCTTCCGATTTCCGCGTGTGCATTAACCACTATATGAAATATACGACCACTATATAAAGATGAACGCGTTGGAGACTCACTGTGGACGCACTCTTACCCTTTCTAGGGGTTAGGCAATTAACCACTAAGCTACAGAAGAAGACTATGGGAAGATTTTGGACTTTTGAAAAGTACATTTCAAAAGTACACACTCGCCCTGTTTAAAAGGCCAAAAAAGACTTCAATGTCATTTGTAGAAACCGTTTAAAGACATTAGACAAACCAATGTAATAAATCTTGTTTTTTCATGGCTACAATTATTCGTTTGTCCTTGCACACCTTTTTAGTTTGAACTTGGGTTATATTTCATATGTTATTCTATGGCAATGCCCTTTGCGCACGCGCAGGCCGTATAAGGTAGAAATACAAGATCTGGAGATTAATGCAGTCCCGTCGGGCGAGGTCACTTATATTTTTATTGTTTACTTTTAGTAGCGTCTGCGCACGCGTCATTTTTCTTACAAAATTAAACAGCTGTTCTATAGACTGGTTCTGATGGAATTTAAATTGTTTAGTTACTGGCGTTACAGTTCTTGGTAATGTAAATTCTTCTATAACTTATACAGTACTATTTTTTTAATAAAAAATACTTAAACGAAAAAGTATTTAAAAATTTAGACCATAATTTTTTGAACTTTCTGGGCATAATCTGGACCGTTTTATGAGGTTTTTATTTACCCTATCATTTACAACGCATTATTTAGTTTCACGGTATTCAAACACATTAAGGTGACACAATGTACACTTATAAACGTCAATAAAGAAATATATATTAAATGCATCTAATTTTCAGTCAGTTCTCAAATCAAAGGCGTAGAACGGACGAGAAGATCTGACAATAAACTCTCCGCCACTCTTTTTAAGTAGTAGGCTCGATCATTTAGTACCTTCGAAAAAGAAAGAAAGAATAAAGAATATCCTACGACCTCATGGATGACACTGACAGTCGCACAGTCGCACAGTCGCACAGTCGCACAGTCGCACAGTCGCACAGGTGCACACGAATGCTTTAGGTTCCATAAAGTTTTTCATCAACGAATCGTGTTAGTTATAATTATGTATTTAAAATTGACTTATTAACTATCACGCGATGACACCATTGTCGTTAAACGAGAATTATTATAATTGATAAGTATAATTGTATAACCATTATTGTAAATACAAAATCATAGATTTA